ACTTCATAAATATCAGTGAAACAGCCCAATACATTACTGGAAAACTTTATGAACAGCCTGAAACATTATCTGATATAGTGCCAGATGAGCCCCGCAGGCTAGAAGATACTCAAAATATGACCTGGGAAGAGCTGCCTCCTCGATGTGGAGTCAGCCTTAATGACATGGATGGGTAAAGCTTTTGGGACCTCCATTTGCTGATGGGGCATGACTTAAAATGGGAAGAAACAGCTGCAAACACTCATTAATAATCAGAATGTGGACAGTACAAAGTATGAATCTAGGAAAAGTGAAGTTGTCAAAATGAAATGGAACACATAAAGATCGATATCCTAGGCATTAGTCAGCTGAAACGAACTGGTTTTGGCCCTGTTGAATGTGCTATGTGGGAAATGACAAATTGAAGAGGAATGGTGTGGCATTCCTTGTCACAAAGAATGTTTCAAGATCTATCCTGAAGTACAATGGTGTCAGTGATAGGATAATATCCATATACCTACAAGGAAGACCAGCTAATACTAGTATTATTCAAATTTATGTGCCAACCACTAAAGCCAAAGACGGCAACACTGAAGATTTTTACCAACTTCACTGTGAAATTGCCAAACATACAATCAAAATTTACTGATTATTACTGGTGATTGAAATTCAACAGTTGAAAACAAAGAATTATCAGTAGTTAGAAAATATGGCCTTGGTGATAAGAAATGACGCTAGAGATTGCATGATAGAATTCTGCAAGACCAATGACCTACTCATTGCAAATACCTTTTGTCAACAACATAAATGGTGGCTATACACGTAGACTTCACCAGATAGAACACACAGGAATTAGATCAACTACATCTATGGAAAGAGGAGATGGAGAAGCTCAAGATCTTCAGCCAAAACAAAGCCAGGAACTGGCAGTGGAAGAGACCATCAAACTGCTCATATGCAAGTTCAAGTTGAAGCTGAAGACAAAGAAAACAAGTGTGCGAGAGCCAAAATATGACCTCGATCATATCGCACCTGAATTTAGAGACCATCTGAACAAGAGATTTGATGCACTGAACACCAATGACTGAAAACCAGACAAATTGTGGGATGACATCAAGAACATCACCCATGAAGCCAAAGGTCATTAAAAAGACAGGAAAGGAAGAAATGACCAAAATGGATGTCAGAAGAGACTCTGAAACTTGCTCTTGAATGGAGAGTAGCTAAAACAAATGGAAGAAATGACAAGATCAAAGAGCTGAACAGAGCATTTCAAAAGGCAGCTTGAGAAGACAAAGTATTATAATAAAATGTGCAAAGACCTGAAGTTAGAAAATCAAAAGGCAAGTACATGCTTGGCATTTCTCAAATTGAAAGAATTGAAGAAAAAATTTAAGCTTTAAGTTGCAATATTGAAGGGTTCTATGGGAAAAACATTTAATGATGCAGGAAACATCAAAAGAAGATGGAAGGACTACACAAGTAGTGTACAAAAGAGAACTGGTCAATGTTCATCTATTTCAGGAGGCGGCATATGATCAAGAATCAATGGTACTGAAGTAAGAACTTGAAGCTACATTGAAGGAATTGGCAAAAAACAAGGCTCCAAGTATTGAGAGAATACCCATTGATGATGTTTCAAAAAACATATGCTGCCCCGGAGGCACTTACTTGTCTATGCCAAGAAATCTGGAAGACAGCTACCTGGCCAACTGGAAGCAATCCATATTTGTAACCATTCCAAAGAAAGGTGATCCAGCAGAATATGGAAATTATCAAACATCATCAATAATATCACATGCAAGCAAATTTTTGCTAAAGATAATTAAAAAACGGTTGCAGCAGTATACTGACAGGGAACTTCATGAAATGCAAGCTGGACTCAGGAGAGGATGTAGAATGAGGGATATCATTGCTGGTTATCAGACAGATCTTGGTTGAAAGCAAAAAATACCAGAAAGATGTTTACTTGTGTTTTACTGACTATGCAAAAGCATTCAACTGTGTAGATCATAACAAATTATGGATAGCATTGAGAAAAATGGGAATCCCAGAACACTTAATTGTGCTCATGAGGAACCTGTACATAGACCAGGAGGCTACCTTTAGAACAAGGGGATACATCATGGTTTAAAATCAGGAAAAGTGTGCATAAGGGTTGTATCCTTTCATCATACTTGCTTAATTTGTATACTGAGTGAATAATCCAAGAAGTTGGACTATATAAAGAAGAATGCAGCATCAGGATTGGAGGAAGACTCATTAACAATCTGTGATATGCAGATGATAGAACCTTGCTTGCTGAAACTGAAGAGGACTTGAAGCACTTTCTGATGAAGATTAAATACTATGGTCTGCAGTATGTATTACACTTCAACATAAAGAAAATGAAATCCTCACAAATGGACCAATGAGCAGCAGCATGATAAATGGAGAAAAGACTGAAGTTGTCAGGGATTTCATTTTACTTAGATCCACAATCAACACCCATGGAAGCAGAAGTCAAGAAATTAGATGTCATACTGCACAGGGCAAATCTGCTGCAAAAGACCTCTTTAAAGTGAAGACCAAAGATGTCTCTTTGAAGACTAAGGCATACCTAACCCAAGCCATGGTATTTTCAATTGCCTCGCATGCATGTGAAAGTGGGACAATGAGTAAGGAAGAAGAGTTGATGCTTTTGAGTTGCGGTGTTGGCGAAGAATTCTGAAAAGTACTACAGAGTGCCAAAAGAATGAACAAACCTTTCCTGGGAGAAGTACAGCCCAAAGCTCCTTGGAAGCGACAATGGCTAGCCTTCGTCTCACCTACTTTGGTCATGCTGTCAGAAGGGACCATTCTCTGGAGAAGATCATGCTTGGTAAAGTGGAGGGTCAGCAAAAAAAGGAGAAGACCCTCTACAAAATGGATTGACACAGTGGCTGCAACAACTGGCTCAAGTATAGCAAGAACTATGAGGATGGCAATGTTTCATTCTGCTGTACATACAGTCATTGTAAGTTGGAGCTGACTTGACAGCACCTAACAAGCAGCTCTGGAGGTGCAGTGGCTAAGGCATCTGGCTGCTAACCAAGAGTTTGGTGGTTTGAACCACCAGCTGCTCCACAGAACAAAGATGAGGCAGTCTGTTTCTGTAAGGAGGTCTTTTGCAGATTTGCCCAATGCGGTATGAAGTCTGATTTCTTGACTGCTTCTTTCATGGGTGCTGAATATGGATCCAAGTAAAATGAAATCTTTGACAACTTCCTTCTTTTCTCCATTTATTGTGATGTTGCCTATTATTAGTCCAGTTGTGAGGATTTTTGTTTTATGTTGAGGTGTAACCCATACTGTGAACTGTACTCTTTTATCCTCACCAGTGTTTCAAGTCATCTTCACCTTCAGGAAGCATGACTGTATTATCTGCATATGGCAGCTTGTTAATGAGTCTTCCTTCAGTCCTGATTCTATGTTCTTTTCACAGCTTCCTGTACTATTTGCTCAAAATACAGATTAAATAACGTGAAAGGATACAACCCTGATGCACTTCCTTCCTGATTTTTAAACCATGCTGTATCCCTTTGTTTTGTCAGAACAACAGCCTCCTAGTCTATGTACATTCTCTTCATGTGTACAATTAAGTGTTCTGGAATTCCCATTCTTCTCAAAGTTATCCACAATTTGTTAGGATGCACACAGCTGAATGCTTTTGCACAGTCAATAGAACACAAGTAAACATCTTTCTGGTATGCTTTCCTTTCAGCCAAGATCCATCTGACATTAGCTATGATATTCCATGCTCCACACCCTCTTCTGAATCCAGCTTGAATTTCTGGCAGTACCATATTAAATAGCCAAATGAAACTGGTGGCTGACATACTTAAGCCTTAATGTTACAAAAGTGAACAAAACAGACAAAGATCCTGCCTTCATGAAGTTTACCTTCCAGTGTGAAAGATACAACACTTAAACCAACAAATACATTATTTTGCATGTTGATTGGAGTGGATTTCTTGCGGAAAGGGTGATTAGAGTAGGCCTCTCTAAAGAAATGTGGATGAAGTGCCTGTCCTTCCTATATGCTCCACAGAAGCTATACTAGCACACAGCGCAAAACTACTGAAACGGCTTTTGTTGTTCAACTGTACTCCAGCAGCAACCGCAAAAAATGTTTCCTTGCCACTGCACACAGAAGTAATTTAAAAACTCCTATAACTGACCCACTCACTCATACACTGTTCAAAAGACACGTGAGGCTAACAGTTCAAAAATGTGGGAAGAGATTAAAGCAAAAACAATCTGCTGTCTCTTCTCCACCCAGTCCCATGTAGCTTTGGAGTCTCACTTCAAAACACAGCAACGCTGAGCAAAGATCGCCGCCTTCTTTCCGTTCTTCTCATCCCCAAATTTGTACTCTGAAGGACTAATCCAGTTTCTTACCCTTTACCAAATCACACTCTTCAGCCAACTCCAACTTTATCAAGGCTATCGAAATACAGTTTAACAGGCTGCTTTATTTGACACTGCATCTCCTTTTGCTAGTCTTCTCTTCCTACATTGTTTACAATTCCTGGAAAGTAAATCTCTACTCAGCCCTCAGAGGCTCTTTGATGCTCCTGTATGTTAAACATCATAGGGGCATTCAATTAAGCGTTGATGACTTTCATGAAGGAAGAGAAGCACAGGAGAAGCTATTTACTTGTAACACCAATGAGAACGCTGTCTCTTCCCTTTTATACTCGGAAATAATGAGGCAACAGAAACGTCTGATACTCAAGAGTGATGACTCACAGGCTTTAGGAGAAGGAATAAAAAGGACGCTCAGGCTGACAGGAAAAAAAACAGATGAGATGTGAAAAAGGCGGAAGCTGGAGATTCCAAACTCGCCCAGTATTACTCGGGGGAGTGAGGGTCACCGCCGGGCAGCCGAGAGAGGAGGTGCCGAGTCCATGAGGATGGGCGGCGGCGCAGCCCCTTGCAGGCACCAGGTTAACCATCAGGTTCCGTTGCGCCTTTCAGCTGGGGCCATGGCCACAAGTTACCTGCTGGTCTCGAGCGAAGAATAGCGCTCCGGCAAGACCTGGAGGCAGCGCTGGAAGAACCGCACATGCCGGTCCCGCAGGAAATCCAGCCGCTCTCCCTCACTGCTCCCCGCAGACTGCTCGTCCTTCGTGGCCGCCATGCCGGTCCGGAAGCGACGTTAACTGCGACCCGGAAGCAATTGGAGTTTAGCGCGAAGAAATCAGGAGGGGCGACCCGGCATGGCAGATGGTACGCGTTAGACTGGCGGCGGGTCGATTGAAACCGCGCAGTATCAAGTTTAATCTTATTGTAGCATTTATTTCATTTCTCTTATTTTTGTCTAGGTAGTGCACGGCTTAGCCTTTCTACTCTAAAACCCACGATTTGGAAACACAGTCCAGTCTACAAATCCTTCCGTCAGAATGTCAATACGCCTTTGGGTAATTGGGAGTACAGTTGTAGTCCGCAACACATGGTCCCATGAGTCAGAATTGCCCCCACAGCAACTGTTTTTGTTTTTTAAATTGTGGTTAAAACATACACACCAAAACACCTGCCAACACAACTTCCACTGTAATTGACCCACTACCAGATTTTACAACTCAATGACATTTATTACATTTTTCATTTTGTGCCACCATTATGGTTATCTTCATCCAAAACATTCAACCTCCATTAACAAAATGTCATTGCTCCCCAAACAGAAACTCCCTCTTTCCATCTCCTTCCCACCCAGGGTACTATTTAATAATCTTTGGTTTCTATATGCTTACTTCATATAAAGGAGATCATACAGTATTTGTCCTTTTGCATCTGATATATTTCACAGCAAAATGTCTTGAGGCTTCATCCATGATGTATCATGCATCAACATTTCATTTCGCTTTATAGCTGTATAATATTCCCTTGTGTGTGTGTGAGTGTGTATACAATTTGTTTATCCATTCATCTGTTGATGGACATTTCATTGTTAATACTTTTGGCTATGGTGGAAGAGCTGTAAGGAACACTGGTGTACAGGTTTCTGTTTGTATTCCTGTCTTCACTTCTAGGTAAATACCTAGCATGGGGATTGCAAGGTCATAAGAGCTCTGGTAGCATAGTGCCTAAGGCACTTGACTGCTAACCAGAAGGCTGGCAGGTCAAACCCACTAGCCACTCCTCGGAAGGAAGGTTAGACAATCTACTTTCGTAGTGATACTGCCTCGGAAACCCAAGGAGGGGTTGCTATGAGTCGGGTCCGACTGGATGGCAAATAGTAACAACAACATGGTAATTTTATGTTCAAATTTTTCAGTGACTGTCAATCTGTTCCAACAGTGGCTGCACCATTTTACATTCCTATCAGCAATGAATAAGGATTCCAATTTGTCCCTAACTTTGCCAACATTTTTCATGGTTTTTTCCTTTTTCTTTTTTCACTGACCTAAAGCCTGGTGGTTTGAATCCACCTGGAGGTATCACTGAAGAAAGGCTTGGCAATCTAGTTCCAAAAGATCACAGCCACTGAAAACCCTATAGTGCACAGTTCTATTATTGTGAAACACAGGAGTGCCGTGAGTTGAAACAACTACATGGCAACTTTTTTTTTTTTTCCAGTCTTACTTTATTCTGTTTCTAAGCTGCTTCAAATCATTAAAAATGTTACAGATAATAAGTAAAACAAATAAAATGAGCATTCCTAATGAAAGTTGTTTTATGTCGGTGCTCTCATTCTGCACCTATAAATTCTGTGATCAAAATTCAGTTTCCAGAATTTGGAAGTCATCTACTTTGAATATTAACTGTGAAATAAGAAAAGGTTTTGACCACTACATATAGTAAACTTCTAACAATCATTTGACCTAAAAGTATCAAATTAGAAATAAGGATGGGTACACAAGTAGAAGAATGTAATCAATGTCACTAAATTGTACAGGTAGAAACTTGTAAGAAGAAAAGAAAGATAATGTAAGATAAAAAGTGAAAAACACATTTTTTATATTTATTATGTAAGTGGTACCTTTCTATAAGGTGAAAATGAATTAAAGTTAAGAATTAAGATTTTATAATATAAAAAGTTGAGCTGAATTAAGTAAATTGTGTTTTCATATACAAAAATTTGGAAATATAAAATTAACTTTTTTACCAAATGGACATTAGCTTAGCAATGTTAAAACACTTTAAACACTGTCAAGAGAAATCATACTATTCCAAAGCTAGATTATTTCAGATGTTTCAGAAAAAAGAAGTTTAGTATTTTGAGATAGAAAAGAAAATTGTGTCAGCCCGGAGCATGTGAAAGACACAAAGATTTTATAAATCTGTTAACTGCATTGAACGGGAATTGGAAATAGCTGACAGAAACCAAATATTAATGATACAATGAAAATGGTATGTGGGGTGAGAGGCATATTTTTAAAATAAATACTCTCTACAGAAAACAAAGCATGCTTTAAACAAATACAAATTGTTTATTACACAAAAATTTAGTAACTGCCAAACTACCAAATTGTTAAACATAGAAAAAGTGCTAACTTATTTCACAACTATTAAAAAAGACTTTTTTTATTTTTTACATTTTTATTATTCAAGCTAACTTACATCCAAATTTTAAAAGTTAAAAATTTTTGGTTTAGAAAATGTCACTTTATGATTGTCCCAATTTATTTTGTTATGTCATGACAACACAAATATGTTAAAAAATTTTCGGTGTACTTAACTGAAATAATGTTTGTAACATTAACTTTACATTAATAGGTCAACAGATAACATTAAATACTCTCTTAGTATAACTAGGAAATAATAATCACAATGCCAGCAAGAAACTTAATACCTGTCAATTCACATGCAAGCACAATTAATACTCAATCTGACTAGGTTAATGATATTTAAAGAACATGGTTAGTCATCCCATCTCCAGTATAGCTGAATATGCTAACAGCATCATTAACTGAATACCAATTTCAAGATCTCATATGCTTCTTTATAATCCTTTTCTCCAGCTTGGAATGGCCCTAAGGGGAAAAAGAAAATAGCTTCATGAAGAGACTATATAGAATACTTAAACAAAAAAATCCTAACAGATTAATTCTAACTTCAAAAAACTCATCTATATTTTATCAACTCTTTATTGTGAAAAATAATACACATACAGATATTGCATAAAATATGTCAGTTAATTAAACTATTATAAAGCAAATAGCCATTTTAACTCCTGTTTACCTATGTGGGATATATAGAAGTGGCCCAGACCCTGTTGGTCCTATCTCTTTGGTCCGTTCTTCCCAACCTTTAGTAGGTTTGTAAAGCCTAGAAGGATCTCTAGTAACATTGTTTTCAACCTATAAGCAGAAATAAAATGAGTGCCAGTAAATTTTTATGAACTATTAAGTTTGAATTAATAAATGAGTAAGATCTCTGGTAACAAAAAGCAGTTTTATAAAACTCTTGATATTAGGTAAACAGTAATAAAACTATTAATAACATTTTCAGTAAAATTCTAGTTATGTTCAAGTAGCTAAAATAAAATGTGGACTACATCAATCTATTAATAAATTGTTACTTAGTTTATTTTTTCTATTTCTCTTATTACTATATTTCCCTTATTATTATTATTTCTATTATGAGGCAAATGTAATATAGCTAAGAATGATAGTGATCTGGCCATGGCCAGACAGTCAATTTAGGATAAGTAACCTAGGTAGTGCATATAGTTAACTACTGAGCTGCAAATGAGAAAGTTGCCTCGGAAGAAAAGCCCGATAATCTAGTTCTAAAAAATCAGCCATTGAAAACCCTACACAGTACAGTTCTACTCTGACATACAGAGGGAATCAACTTAGTGGCAACTGGTTGGTTTGGGTAAGTCCTATGCTTTAACCATGAAAGGTAACAACATCTTTAGTTGTGAGTATAATCAGGGAGATTAACCAATGCTCATAGGTGTAAGACAAAGGCTCAAAGAAAGAAGGAAGAATGATGAGTAGAAAGAGAGAAATAATTTAGGGTGAAAAGAGTTGCTCATAATGTGAAATGATAGAATTCAACTATTAGTTGCTTAAATTGCACGAGGCTATGCTTCCTAAGGGAGCTCTGGTAGCATAGTGGCTAAGGCTAACCAGAAGGCTGGCAGTTCAAACCCACCAGCCACTCCTCGGAAGGAAGATGGGGCAATCTACTTCCGCAGTGATACTGCTTCGGAAACCCAAGGAGGGGTCACTATCAGTCGGATCCGACTCAATGGTACATAACAACAACAACATGCTTCCTAATATGGAAATAATTAAATAAGAATGAAATAAAGGAGATGGTATAAGAATAAGGCTAGGTATAAAGAAAATGGATTTGATGTCTGAATCCAAATCGAGGAATGAGGAAAATTAGAATAAAAAGAAATTAATCTCAGTAGAGAGTAGTACCTTTTCTTTTAATTTTGCCCATCTTCGTTGTTTTTCTACCTTTTCATCTTCCTTTGCCTGTCTGTCTAGAATTTTCAGTTCAAGTTTATATAAATCCTAAAAAATATAAACAACATAAAAAGAAATTGAGAAAGTAAGCAAACTTAACCAGAGTTTAATTCAAAGTTTAGTCGCTTGCAAGTAAAATTAAATCCTTAAATCCTAATACTATCTCAATATTAAACTTGTCTAATAGAGGCTAGGAGGTTTTTTTTTTTTTTTTTCCTGAATATAAATGTAGTATGCACATTTAAAGCACTTTACAATCATAAAGTAATCCCCCGTCTTACTTTATGGTCCAATCTAAAACTCCTTTTCTTTTAATATATGAGTTAAGCCATTTTCACTTTTCAATATAGCTATTTCTGGTCTTCTCACATTATTTTCTATTTTATAGATTTTCTTTTTTTAAAGTATTTCACTACGTGGACTCTTTGGCCTTTTTTTTTTTTTTGCATGGGATTTTTAGTGATGTAGGGAAGATTTTTATGTATAGACTAAAATAAATGAATGACAATTTATTCTTTATTTTCTCTCAAATTTCTTTATTAGACAAAAGCACACTAAGAGCTTTTGTTTATTATATTTCTTTGTACCTCCCTTATCTTCTGTGTTACGTATGTTGTTGCTATCTATTTTGATATCAAAATATCTGCACAGATATTTGTAACAGTTCTAACTAATTTGTACCCATTTTCCTTTTAAATTGTGCTACCTTGTTTTGTTTAATACTTTTTGTATTGAATTTCACCTTATCTAATAACATTGAAACTCCTTTCTGGTATATATAATCCTACTAGGAGTTCTGGTAGCGCCCTGCCCAAGGCATTTGACTGCTAACTAGAAGGCTGCAGTTCAAACCTACCAGCCACTCCTCGGAAGGAAGGTTGGGCAATCTACTTCCGTAGTGATACCATCTCGGAAACCCAAGGAGGGGTCACTATGAGTTGGATCCAATTCGATGGCAGTGAGTTTTGTTGGTTTATAATCCCAACTACCCAGAAATAACCTTGATTGATTTAAGTATACATCAAATACCTGTAATGCACCAGACCCTGGGTAACAGGCATGAATAAAAAGGGCAAAACCTCTGCT